AATCAAAAATAAAATATATTTTTTATATTACCAACACAATTTCTCGTACTACACACAAAAAAATCATCTCATTTAAAAACGATGAGTGAACAGACTGAATGTTATAAACATATTAATATTTTATTTAAACTCTATAATTATATTATAATAAATATACATTGAAGTCAATATAAATTATAAAAAAAAATAGAAAAAAATTAGGAAAAAAAATAGTACATAATCATTAAAATTCTTATTCCGAAACTTACAAAAATTTATTGTTGGTGTGTTTCCATTTGTAGTTAACAATAGAACAATTAATTGGCCTAGGAACAAGAATCCACGTATTGTTAACATTCAATGAATTCATTTCATCATGCATTGCATTTAACCATTTTTCAGCATGTTTAGATTTAAAAGCTTCTTCATAGAACTTAGGTTCATTTCCATCTAATGTCTCGAACACACTAAAAGCATAAGAAGTCAAGTCGTATTCATCAAATCTAGAAGGGATTGATTACACTGACATTTTCTCACCTGTAGTTAAATATACTACTGTTAGGATAATGCTTGCCTTAGTTGCTCACTTTAATTAGGAACTAAAACAAATGGATGTTAAAACTGCTTTACTACATGTGATCTAAGTAAGAAAATTTACATGAAACAACCTGATGGCTTTGTAGATAAAGATAAGCCTGATCATGTGTGTCTACTGAAGAAATCTTTGTATGGTTTGAAACAATCACCTAGATAGTGGAACATTAAATTCGATGAGTGCATGAGATCTTTAAAATTCACAAGAAGTAATTTTGACCATTGCTTGTAATTTATGAGATCAAATGATGTTCCTGTTTTCTTACTTATTTATGTGGATGACATGTTATTGATTAGTCCTTGTGTGAATACTATCAAGCATGTTAATGATTGTTTGAGCAATAAGTTTGACATGAAACATTTGGGTGATGCAAAGAATATTCTTGGTATGAACATTATTAGAGATAGGGCTGCTTTTATACTTTTGTTAAATCAATCTGCATATATTGAAAAAGTCTTGAAACGATTCTGTATGTCCAATGCAAAGTCAACTAATGTGCCTCTAGCTTCTCATTTTGTGCTAAGCAAAGATCAATGTCCTAAGTCTGAATCTGATATGAATTACATGAAAGATGGGTCATATTCGAATGTTATAGGCTCTGTGCTGTACTTGATAATTTGCACTAGACCTGATATTGCATATTCTGTGAGTTGTTTGAGTTGTTTCATGTCTAATCCTGGAACTGAACATTTGAATGCAGTCAAGTGGCTATTTAGATATTTGTGTGGTTCTAGTAACCTAGGGCTAAAATTTGGAAAACGTGTTGAATGAGTAAAATTGAAAGGTTATGTGGACTCTAATTATGCGAATGATAGAGACAATAGAAAATCTACAACATCCTATGTTTTTACTTTGTGTGGCTCATGCATAAGTTGGAAATCACAACTCTAACATATTGTTGCTCTATCTACTACTGAATCAGAATATGTTGCGATAACTGATGCTCTAAAGGAAGAGCTGTGGCTAAAAGGTTTGCTTTCTGAAATTGAAATATTATGTGACAATGTGACAGTCTATTCTGATAGTCAGTCTGGAATCTAATTATGCAAGAATCCTGTTTTTCATGATAGAACCAAACACATAGATGTTAGGTTTCATTTTATAAGGGACATAGTTGCAAAAGGGTCGGTTAAGCTTGAAAAAATACCTTCTCAATTTAACCCTGATGATATGGGAACCAAATATCTGCCTGTTTCCAAGCTTCAGTCATGTTTAAATATGTTAAATTTTGATACATTGGATTAGAACTGTGTCTGCTCTTCATTGATAGCATGTATTATTTTTCTGTGATTAATATATGCTCTACAGAATTGACTCCGTGTTAAGATTGCAGGAATAATGGCAATGATGATAGCATGTTCCCACTCTCGATTGACCTTCAATGTAACCACGAGGGTCAACTAGAAACAAGGAAGAGATTGTTGGTGTGTTTCAGCGTCAACCCACACCCAAATCCAGATCCGACCCAACCCGGTCCGACCCGAACCAGAACCGACCCGGTTTGTCTTTATCTCCCTAAATCAGAACCGATCTCTCCCTCATTCTGTTCGATCCTTTTGAATCTTTCTCTCATCCGTTCCGTCATTCACGATGCTATCCCTATTTTTTCGAAATTGATCGAGTCCGCCATGGGTGTTAATAAGGTAAAGTTGTTCCCTACTCTTTTGGGTTCTATCCATCCGCCTCTCCTCTGTATATATGGGTTTGGGATTTTTGGGAGATGTGAGTGACGAGTTCGCTATTCTGTTCTGTTATGTGAGCGACGAACCTACTGCCTTAGCCTATCGACTTCTCTTATTACTTTTCCGTCCTGATACTGCGTGTGCGAGGAACGCTATAGGGTTCTTGGGTTACTTCGTGTTAGGAACCACCGTAATCGACACCTTTGTGGGTTACCTCATAAAACGACTTGGAGTTGGCGAATGAGTGGCTGCGATCTGAACCTACTTTACCGATTGATCTACTTTTCTTTCAATTCTTAATATATATTCTGTTTCATATTCTTAACTATCGTTTTTATCCGCACTAATTATTTGGTTGAAAATCTGTGCAGATCTCCCAACGTTCAGGAAGATCAAGAATCCCAACATTGGTATCAGAACCCGGTTAGATGGTGAAGTGGACTGGGTGGCATTGGGCATTGGTTGTGGAGGTGGGCTCACCCTCGTGACCTGCGGATGTGCCTTGTGTCGAAAGTCTCCTGGTGGTGTTGGGGTGTTGGGTCGGTCCCGATTGAGGTGGTCAGACAGTGGGTCCCTTTGTGATAGGCGGTACAAGGTAGGCAGAGAAGATCTATTGGTTGGTCCTTGGTTTGAGGGGAGGATTGTTGGGGTGCAAACCCAAGTCCCACATCGGAAATTGTGAAGAAAATTACACACCTTATAAGTCCCAAAGGACTCTACTAGTATGAGGTCTTTTGGAGAATATCCAAAAACAAATTCGTGCGGGCTCAGCCCAAAGCGGATAATATCATACTAGTGTTGAGTTGACCCCGTCCTAACACTTATGTAATTTTATAAGGAAATTCATAAGTAATTTTATTTAAAAACTAAATTAAATCATAATTGCAGGGAAAAAAAACTAACTAAAAAAATTAAAAATAAATTTTAAAAATTTTTAAAAATGAGAAAATAAATATTTGAGATTAGATTCAAAATATATTTTTCTATTTAACAAATTATACAATTTGAAATAAATATTATTTTTATTTCAATATTTATATAATATAGTATATATTTTATTAAACTAAGATAAAAAAAAAATTAATTAAAAAAGATAAAGAAAGAAATATTTCATAATTTATACAATATCATAAAAATTATATCAATTTATTAAAAATATTTTAAAATTTTAATTATAAATTTAATTAATTATGAATTTTAATAAAATTTATTATTAAATATAAAAATTAAAGCAAATCACAAATAAATAATAAGAGAAAGAAAAAAATATATTAAAAAAAGAAAAGAATAGATGAGATGATGGTACAAGGAGAAAAATAATACTCCCTCCGTCCCAAATAAGGTACAATATTTGCTTTTGGTACGAATTTTTAGGTGGATAGTATTAAATAGGATAATAGAGAGAGAAATATATATTTTATATTTTTTTTGGATGATGTGAGGGGATAAAGTGTGGTGTAAAGATTAAGTATAATTAATTATTTTCTATTTTGTAAATGTTGTGTTTGGGACATACCGAAAAAGAAATGTTGCAGATGTTTGAGCCGAAGGGACTAATATAATAAAAAATCAGTTTAGAAAACTATTAAAAATAGTTTTATTCAAAATTAAACTGGATAATAGAGATAAATTGAAATTAGAAAAAATAAATAAAAATAGAAGAGATGATAGCGTTTGGAGTGGATGGAGGGGGAAAAAATATTATAATTTAAAAATAATTTATAAACTCATAAAATACCATAAATAAATTTTAAAAATAATTTTATCCTAAAGCATATAGTAGATAATTTAAAAAATATATATTCTAGACCACAATACTATCATTTATTTATATACATACATATATACATTACAGTTGTGAAGATGATAAAAATACATATATAAATTGCAATTTTAAAGATGATAGACATGCATACATATGTACATACAATTGGCTATTGAAAAAAAAAAACAGTCAAATATGAAACACAAACATATTTTTTATAAACACAGAATATGGATACGAATCACAAACATATTGAATAAACACTTTTATGTTGAGACAGATTTTTTTTTCAGAAAAAAAAAAATCAATTCTTAACCAGAAATACCAATGAATCACAACATTTAAATATTAAAAAAAAAATTGCATTAAATATCATTCTAATTAAAACCACAAATTGTGTCTAACATAAATTGCATTAAAAAAGTAACTCTTATATTCCCACTGTTCCAATACAGTAGTTTTATTTATCATTTTTGTGTCATTTCCATGAATAACCATATAATTATAACATTACTGTTATTTTTTTTCATTATTATTACACTGCCAATATAATATCAATATTCTTTAAGTGTCAAATACAATCCATACCGTACTATTTAAACCCTAAATATGTTTGTTACCCATAATTTCATTAAATAAGACAATTACACCTATTAATTATGATTATGACTAATTAAATAAAATAATTTCATTAACTTTATTAATTTATATATTTGCTTTTATTAAAAATTCAAAAAAATAAGAAAATAGACCTCAAATATGTATCATGGATTAACTTAATGATAGATTAATTATATCTAAATGGAAACAAGTATTAATCTAATAAGGAGGTATCCATACCATATGGATAGATATTAACGATGGAATGAAATCTTATAGTAATTCAGAAATTTTGTGATAAGGGTCTAAAAGTTGACGTAAAAGCCTATCGAATCGAATCGAATGTAACGGATACACGCGCTTGTTGTTTAATTTACCTGACAGTTGTAAAACATGTCATCTATTATTCGATATGATGCACCATAGGTATTTCGCTCCGCATATATTGAAACCCTCCGCCGCTCGCGATGCCGCACGAGACGACGGCTATAGACTACGTCATGGAGGCGGCCTCCGGCGCCCATTTTTCCGGCCTCCGACTCGACGGCCTTCTTTCGCCCACTCCTACGCCCTCTCCACCCGCATCTTCTGGCGTTGCTACTCCTTCCGCATTCTCTGTCGCCTCTCCCGTGCCCGATCCCGCGCTGCTCAAGCAGCCTTTTGTAATCGGTAATTGGACTTGTTATTGGAAACGACGGTTTTGATTTTTCGTGTTCCTGTGGCATAACCACTTGTTTGGATTAGCTATCCTATGTATTTAATTTTGGGTTTACCACGGGAGCAGGGGTTTCGGGAGGAACGGCTTCAGGGAAGACGACAGTCTGCGATATGATTATACAGCAGCTTCATGATCATCGCGTAGTGCTTGTAAACCAGGTTTCTCTTCTGCTCCATCTTTTTCTTCTACTCACCTTATTCTTATTTGAGTGTGTTTACTATAAGGGTGGATAACATTGTTTTATCCATTCTAATCGCATGTTTGCTTTTGAATGATTAAAGCTTATAATCCATAATTGCTGTTATCCCATCCAAGACATGATTCAATAATATAATCACATCCTTCAAAGAAAGTAAATTAACTGCACCTTACCCTTGGCGTTTGTGTGTGCATTCTTGAAATTGAAAGCGTCTGTTGGTTGAAGTTAAGGTAGGGATTAAGAAAGTTTTGTGTTTTTGAGTGTTTTAAGTGTTGTTCACATTGCTGTTGCCAGCTATGTTCCTTTGCATGACAACTGCAAGCTAAAATTCTGATTCATTCCCTCGATCTAATTCAGGATTCTTTCTATCGAGGTCTTACTGCAGAAGAGTCAAAGCGTGTGCATGAGTACAATTTTGATCATCCAGGTATCTAAGCTATCTGAATTTGTGCACTTTGTATTGACGTCATTGTTCTGATTCAAACCTACTTTATGACCTTTCATGGTTTTTACCTCATCTATTCACTTTCTCGCAGATGCCTTTGACACAGAGCAGCTCCTTGAGTGCGTGGAAACACTGAAAAGTGGCCAATTAGTCCATGTTCCAATATATGACTTTAAAACACATCAAAGGTGTTCAGACAGCTTCCGTCAGGTGTGCATTTTGGATGCTGAATAATTGTTCTTGTTGGAACTTGCACAAGGATTATGACATTATTTGTGGATTAACTCTACTTAGCAGTAGCAGACCTTTAGATTTATCTTTTTCTTACTGAATATTGCACAAATACATGATATATACAACTTGATATGTAGTATCTTGAATATGTCATGTGATACTTGTAACTGTCGGAGGTTTCAGGTGAATGCTTCTGATGTAATCATACTGGAAGGCATCCTTGTTTTTCATGATCAACGAGTACGTAACTTGATGAACATGAAGATATTTGTCGACACAGGTAAACTTTGAAGTAGTTATGCATCCAATGGATCTGGAGCTGCTGTTATATTTATGCCCTTCATTGTATTTTTGTTCTCTTAATTGATGGAATCAGATGCTGATGTGAGACTTGCTCGTAGAATAAGGCGTGATACAGTTGAGAGAGGGAGAGACGTAAACTCTGTCCTTGAACAGGCAAGCCCTTTGATATCATGATATTATGTCTGAACTCTAAATAGCGTTATATGTATCAGTTATTTGGTGTTTTGGCTTCCTATTAACATGTTTTTACTCTTGTGTTATATATAGTATGCAAAGTTTGTGAAGCCTGCTTTTGAGGATTTTGTTCTACCGTCCAAAAAGTATGCTGATGTTATTATACCTCGTGGGGGTGACAATCATGTTGCAATTGACTTGATTGTTCAACATATTCGCACCAAGCTCGGGCAGCATGATTTGTGTAAAATATATCCAAATGTGAATGTTATACAATCAACTTTCCAGGTATAAGCCCTATTTTGCTATGCTTTAGTTTGCATATTATCTGTTAATTGATATTTATCTGTACAGAATGTGGAAATGAGATTTCTTACATTGGAAAATTCTTTTTTGTTTTCACTTTTGACCTTTTTCCCAATTGGAGGTTGAGGGAAAGGGAAAGAGAGAATTTGGCATTATCATTGATTGGCATGGATTGGGGTGATTATATCTAAATTTGGCCAGATATTAATCCATGATTAATCAGTCATGCTCTGTAATACTGTGGTCCTTTTTCTTTTAATTATATCCGTGAGCCATGCATAGTTCATCATTGAAACTATTCAGGGTAATTTCATCCAGTGGTATTTTGTGTTGAGCAGTTGTTTTCTCACTGTTGTAAATGTGACAGATACGAGGAATGCACACCCTGATTCGAGACAAAGACATATCAAAGCATGATTTTGTGTTTTATTCTGATAGGCTTATACGACTGGTAATTATAAAATTTGTTAATAACCAAATAAAACACCCACTCCCAAACTGTATTTGACGTGTGTTTTTCAGGTTGTTGAACATGGCCTTGGCTATTTACCCTTCACTGAGAAGCAAATTGTCACGCCAACTGGTATTTTAGAAACTATTCTTATCTTGTGGGGATTTATCATCAATTCATTTATCCCTTATGATTAAGCAAGATGGACTTAGAAGTGACTGATCTAACGAATGTTTGCAAATTTATGTGGTTGTGAGGCAGGTTCAGTATATACTGGTGTTGATTTTTGCAAGAAGTTGTGTGGTGTTTCCATCGTTCGAAGGTAAGAAATTTTGTGTGACGTGCTATTGATAGTATCAGTTTACTCAAGTGAAATAGGGATTGATTGAATTTAAGAATGCTATCTGTGGTCCTCCAGCTGAAATCTACTTCTGAATAGGTTTTTATTATCATTTTCCTTTTGTAATTGGAATTGATTTAATATCACAGTAACTTGGTTAAGCATGCACACAGTACAATAAATTACATATATAGCATTCCTTTTGAATCGCCTGACTGGAAAGATGGATTTGAAATTTTCCTTGGATTTAAACAATTTGCTAAGTTATGGGTGGTTTTCAAGCCATTTCTTATTTATGCTCCATCTCTCATTTAAACATATAAGTTGAATTTAAATGCACTGACTTGGGAAGTCCTATAAAGCTGGGTTTTGGATATGAAATCCACAAGATTCAAATCCTTCACTGTTAATGGGCTTAGATTTATTTCACTTATTAAATCTTCATTATCTGATATGATATTTAGGGTCTATTTATTTTGAAGCTCTGTTACTTTTCTTCTGATAGTGGGGAAAGCATGGAAAATGCACTACGTGCCTGCTGCAAAGGGATTAAAATAGGGAAGATTTTGATCCACCGTGATGGTGACAATGGGAAGCAGGTTGTTTATTTCTTTCTTTATACCAAATTTTTTATGTTAGTCAAGTGCTGAAATACTTCCAATACAACAACACTTTAATTTTTATTTATGTTCTTTTACCTACCTATGCAGCTTATATATGAGAAACTTCCCAAGGACATAAGTGAACGCCATGTTCTTCTCTTGGACCCAGTTCTTGCTACAGGTAACCATTACGCCAAACTTTTGTGGGTTCGCCAATATTTTAATTCTGCCCTACTTAAGTATTCTACTATTAGCCTGAAATATTCCATCCATGATTTTTCTTCCAGGTAACTCTGCTAACCAGGCGATTGAATTACTCATACGGAAGGGAGTTCCGGAATCTCACATTATATTCCTTAACCTCATTTCGGTGAGTCTTGTACAGTTGTACTACATTGCCAAGGGAATTCTCTCTATTGATTTTTACATTTTTTGCGCGGTAGAGATATATTTTTACATCCTACCTTTTTTATGCACAGGCACCTGAGGGAATTCATTGTGTTTCCCAGCGTTTCCCTTCGTTAAAAATTGTGACATCTGAGATAGATGTGGCGCTTAATGAAGAATACCGAGTGATTCCGGGAATGGGAGAATTTGGGGATCGATACTTTGGTACTGATGATTAACACCCATAATGGTTATCAAATGAGATATTGGTTTGTCAAGTGCTGGGTTGCAGACTACAGCCATCGAGGATCTTCTCCTCGCCCTTTTTTCTATTTTTTATTTTTTATTTTTATTTTTTTGAAACACTGAGTGAGCTAAATTTGAAGCTCTTTGCACATACACTATTTGGTCTATAAGTTTGAATGCAAGACATATCTATGTATCCCTATCAAGCAATACCTACTGATTTACTCCTAAGGAAAGGTCGAACAGTGAGCATCAATAATAGATGGGTATTTCTTTGGCATTACAGTTTTGGTCCCTTTTTAAACAGTAGAAATACTATGTTCTAAATTGAGTTTGTATTCCCTTTTTACGAAATATTTCTAGTCGCCTGTGGTGTGCTTGAGGCAGCAATATCCGTGCCGTGGGAGCAAGCAAATGTTGTACGCACTTTTATTACTATATATGCTCAAGGATCTGAAAGAATGAAGTGAAGAATCTCAACATGTTTTTATGTGTGAAACATAACCTTGTGCATCAGTGTCCCTTCTTGCCTTCCTTGCATCTTACCAGATCAGGAAATGCACTCAAAATATTGTGGGCTATCAGGTCTTGCCTTGTCAAAATTCCCACCACTTGAGGAACCTGTCAAGCGATCAAGACAATATCCAGGTCAGGTCAGTCATTTCAATTGCAAGTTTTACTCTATGCATCAGATCTTTCAATCATTCTGTAAACTTAACTTACCCCGGAAGCTTGGTTCTTCGGCAGGATGATCAGGTGTCGTAGCCCCACTTGCCTGAAGAGTACCATTGCCTTTGCAACGGAGACACTTTCAACCACAGTGTATGGAGTTGTATTGGTCAAGGGATGCAAATCAATGTACATATCCATTTCGTCCCTACTCACAGTGACCTCTTCAATGGTGGTGCCCCTTTCTGCCAAGTCGATGGAAGTAAATTTCTCCCACACTTCCCATTCTTCTGTTCTTCGCCTTTCTTGCAGGAACCACTTCTTCTTCAGTGCTAGAATTAGATGAGCTCTCAGGATCAGTCCATGTAGCTCAGTAGCTCCCTCAGGTGCATTCACAACTGGGAAACCATTGTATGTGGTGTTTCTAAGAACTTCAACGACACGGCCGACCTTCTCAATTCCATTGAGGGTGACTACTGCTGGTTTAACATCTGCAAGCTCGCCTACTGTGATGTTCCTCATCCATGGCTCGGGGTTTGCTTCCAAGAAAGGCAACCCTTTTAGTTCCAATATAATTTCATATATGCTTGGATTGAAGCAATCACCCACAGTCTTTGCAATCAGAAGAACGAGCATTGTTATAGGCAGCAAGAGAAGGTTGTTGGTAAGCTCAAGGAAAATGACGCAAAGGGAAACAGTCATTCTCATAGAACCAGCCATAAGTGAGGCTGCTCCAAGAACTGAATACAGGCCTTGATCGATTTTTGTGTAGGTTCCCATTGCAACCCCCAGTATTCGGCCGTATGCTGAGCCCATGAGAATGATGGGGAGGAAGAGACCAGAAGGGACTGCAATGCCGAAGGTAATCAGTCCTAGTATGCAGTACAACACAAAGAATATAAAGAGTGACCCGATACTGTACTCTGATGGAGTGTTTATGGAGAAAATATTCCGAACTGCATCGTCATTGGTGGTGAGGAGAAGTGAGGCCAAGTCACTGTAGTAGCCTTTGGGGCAGTTGAATTGCTTGAAGTTCCCTGTACGATCATTTGTTGGGCAGGAGAAATCATCGAGAGATGAATCGCAGGGCCGGCACTTGGCAAGGAATGGAAGTCCATACAGGCAAACGGAAGTGAACAAGGAGACACTCAGACTGAGGAGGAGTTTGGCTAGTTTTCCCTTCCTGAGAAGTGAGAACAACCAAGAACATGTAAGATTAACTGCCATGTAGCTATTTTTGTGACCTCAATAAATGTGAAATGAATACTTACTGATTTATGACATTGTACACTTTTAGGACCTTGTGAAGAAGGTAGTTGTACAGGCTTCCCAGAAGGCCGCCGAGCACGCCTATGACAGCCACAGGGATGATATCTACAACATGGTACCTGACCGAAACTCCACTCACATCGAATATGATCAGCCCTCCTTTCCCAAACAGCCCACAGTAGCCTGATTGGCAGTACTCCATGGCTGTCCGAAGCACTACAACCACGACTGCCGTGCTGAAGAAGGTTCTCCAGAGGAGAGCACTTCTCCACCAAGTAGCCACTTCCTCCAGGGCAAAGAGGACGCCCCCAACTGGTGCCCGGAAGGCAGCACAGACGCCGGAAGAGGATCCACACGTGATCAGATCACGCCGGTCCCTATCATTGTTGAAGTATCTCAGCCATCGCCATCTAATTCGATACCTGTCTGGTCCACCTTGGCCTAGTAGAGAAGCTAAGCAGCTCCCGATGTGCACCAGGGGTCCCTCTTTTCCAAGATCCAGCCCGGCCGAAACTGCCCCAATGCTTCCAATAATCTGTCATGAATCAGCTGGTCAGGATCCTATCATTAAGGTAACAAGATGGGGTCAGATAAAGCATTCGAACCTTAACAATCAATGTCGTTGCACCAAACATGTTGGGGGTGTCCACCCCATTCAGATATGCTTTGATTTCAGGGATTCCAGGCCCGGCTGCTGTAGGTGCAAAGAAAACACAGAGAAGGGCCGCCACCATTGTTAGGGCAAGATTTGCTCCAGTCATGTATAAAAATCCCGTCAGGTATCTGTAGCCATCACAAAATTTCAATAATCACCACAGCAATTAACATTTTCAGATGATGCAAGAAACTTATATATATGTGATATGTCGTCTGAAAATGAAAAGAGTTAACCTTTCCTCCCGGATGTAATTGACGACAGCAAGAAGTTTATATCCAGCTATGTTTTCAATGGCGACATTGATGAGAGTTGCTATTAGGCCTGTCAGGAGCCCAACCAGGAATGCCAGCAACCACTTGAGAAAGATATACTGCAAAACTTGAACCCTCGATCTGCTCCTCCAGTCCTGCTTGAACAGATCATTCTCATTGATCCTACACCAGGTACGCTGCACAGTTAATCATCTCATCTAGTCTAGTTTAATCTAATCTTCCATACCCAAATTCTCTAAAAATATATATATATATATAGGGAATTCAGGACTTACTCATAGTCCAGGCTCTCTATGTAAGAAACCTTTGTTCCAACAATGGCCAATGGGCTGGAAGACAGTGTCCTGTTCCTTTTGAGGAGAGGCTGATGAAGGTTATTGCTTTCAGGGTCCTGTTCTGCCTCTTCTGTTTCAACATGTTTTTCTGAGACTGATTCTGCCTCTGTAAAATCGTTGAAATTCTCCATCAGGGACTGGAAATTTGGAATGAGGGTTTCCTTCTGGAAATGGTGAAGTATCTAGTTTGTTCCTCAACCCTGGATTGCTGGAGATATATGCAATATGTCTCTCTCTATATATAAACCCTAGATTAAGCAAGATGATAATTTAGTTGTGGTGATGGTGCATATATATATATATATATATATTTGGGAATGTGGAAGTGAAAGTGAAACCTACAGATAAAATCCATTCACTCAACAAAGAAAATAATCATCTGTTTCCATCATTGAGTTTGCCATTTGAGTTGTAATACGAAATATCTGACGTGACTGTTGGCTCCTAATCTGCATTCAACTATTGAACATGTTGAGAATGCAAACAAACATAGAAGTTATATGGCACCCCTGGACTCCAGCTCCCACCGAATAGGAACACCATCTACGCCAAGAAATGTGGGGACCCTGGGACTTGAGCTCCATGGACTCCACAAGAATTCGCTTGTCTTAATATGTTTTGTTATTGCTAATGAAACTATGGATTAGGATAATTAGAGATCTACTTTTCGTTTTTATTTTTTTTTTTATTTAAGAGATTTTTTTATAGCTGTGTTGACCAATTGGGTGTTACTTTATTTTAATTTTTCCACCCTGTGTGTTTGTTGTCAGTTGATGGGGATGGGGCTAAATGGCCAATGTTCCTCAACTTGACATCAAAGATACATAAGCTCTATTGAATAACACGTGTACAATCCAACGGTGGATATGCATCTGACCTTTCAAAGAGACGAGGGATCATTTTCACACCCGAATCTAATCTAATCAATGCCTAATTTATTTAATTCAGCAATTATTGACAAATAATCAATTTCGGATTTTCATTTATTGGCCCGGCCCCACTTGTACCAATTTCTATAATCACTAACAAATCTTGTTGCTTTCAAATAAATTTCATTAAAGGGACCCTTTTATTTTCACAAAATATATTGTTACATTAATTACTGCTCTTATAAAAGATTATAATAAACTGAAGATGGGTTTCATGTGATTTTTCTTTTTACTTAAAAGGGACCAACCATTGGCTGCCATCTTGTGTTCAAACGTTTGGTAGTTACGCCTAAAATTGCAGAAAAATGTGGCATACATATATCTGATTCTTACTGCATTGGACCAACTGTTTAATAATTGTGGCCTTGAGATGGCAATACAATATATATATATATATATATATATATAATATTTGATGTCAAAAGTCTGTTTTTGTTCGTGAAAACTGATACGATATAATAATACTAATATGTAATATCAGACACACGATTTCGTGTCGCCAAATGATCCAGCTCACCTCTTTTTTTAACACATTATATATGTAGTTGTGTTTGATTTTTTCTGATTGTATCAAAATAATTGTAACATACATATACATATGTATATTTTGTTTGATCAAAGAGAACTGAACCTTGACCTTCATTAAACGCAAATAACACACATGAAAATTGATTGTATCGTTGTTACATTTAGTTGCTTGTTGATATTCACATGGTACTATTATTTAACAACCGCCGCTGCCGGCCCCCCCCCCCCCCCCTCCCCCCCAAAAAAAAATCCATTCACACTCTCCCAATATTATTTTTCAATTGCAATTCTAAAAAAAATAATATTATCTCCGGCCGGCTCTAAGAGTCCTATTTTTCTTTTTTAAGTGTTATATTTGAATATTAATTATTACGTGAAAACGTAATACAAATTAAATAAAAAAAGACAAAAATACTTTTATTAATGTCCTATAATACTATTGTATAATACTATTATAATGACGTACAAAAAATTATACAAATATAACGATATTTTTAATGCTAACTACAATGACACACAAAAGTTAAATAAGACCTGTAGAGCCGGAAAAAAAAACAAAAAATATAATATTTTATACAAAAGTTAATTATAATATTAAAAAATCAAATATTCAACCTAAAAAGGTATATTTTTTTAAGCAATTTCTCATCCCACACACCAAAAATCATTTCATTTAAAAAGTTTTGTGAACGAACTATTATTACTACAATTATTAAAATGAAAAAAATAAAGAAAAAAAATTGAAGCAGTTTAAAGAATTGGGCCAAGTGGACGGTTGGAAGTATGTTTTCCAGCCCAAATGTATTGGGCCATATTTTAAACCTTCTAAAAATTTAGAGAGGGCCCATACGTTTACACGTCCAATATCAATTCGGAGTGAGACGCTGACGAGTACGCCGAGGTCGCTGAATCGGCGAGCAACCTAGCGGGGGAGGGAATGAGCTAGACGATCGGCAAGCTCAGGGAGTAAGAGTCTATTTCCCAACTCTTTCATAAGATTTATTGTCAGCTTATGAGCGTGTATATTGGAAATAGTTTGGAATATGGTGTGTAATCTTATGTTTTTGTCTGTGCAACTTCAGCTGAATATTGTTGTATCCATCTCGAAGAGTAGGATTTTATTGTTTTTTTGTCTTGGTTTTGTTGTTAATTATCATGGGAATTCCATTTTCCGTCTACCTTTTGCCCCTATAATTTGTCATGGCTGAATCGATTTTTGTTTGTTTCTGAGGTTATCTAAGATTTAGGGTTTTGTGAACCAGCGCCTTCTTCTTGTGCTGATTTCGCGTTGAATTTCTTTATGCGATTCATATCTGTATTATATGTAGTAATTAGATATTTTGTGTTCTGATTCTTGAACCCAGGACTGCTTGTGGAAATGGTAATTTGAACAAGGGATTCTCGGTTATATTGACTGATTGCTCGGAGATACAGTCATGTCTGCAAATAACAACCCTCAGAAGAATGTTGGGGCTTCATCCCCTTTTGGAAATCCTTTACCTGGGAATCCATCTGCTCAGCAACAGTATGGATCCGGATTTCAGGGTCAATTTCCATTTTCTGAGGCTCAGGCTCAGGCTCAGGCTCAGGCACAAGCCCTTGCTCAGGCTCAGTCAAAAGCTCAGGCGCAAGCTCATGCCCGTGCTCAAATGTTGGCTCATGCACAACTGCAAGCCCAGTTACAGGCTGCTCAGGGTCTTTCATTCAACCAGGGTCATTCAGGAGGTCTTCCAAATTTGATGGGTTCGCAATCCCCCTCAATTTCAGGAGCTGGAAGTGTGGGCGCAAAACGTTTTCCTCAAAAACCACCTCTGCACCAACCAAGCTTTTCGCCGTCCAACACTGCCTCTCCACTGAGGACAGCAGTTGATGCTTCAGCTGCTGCCAGGAGGAAGAAGCAGAAGCTTCCTGAGAAGCATTTACACGAAAAAGTTGCGGCTATCTTACCTGAGTCTGCTCTTTATACTCAGCTCCTTGAATTTGAGTCTCAAGTGGATTCTGCTTTGACCAGGAAGAAAATTGATATCCAAGAAGCTTTAAAGATGCCTTCATACATTCAGAAAACACTCCGTATATATGTTTTTAATACTTTCGCTAATCAGATTCGCACCATGCCGAAGAAACCTAATGCTGAGCCACCAACATGGACTCTTAAAATTGTAGGTAGGATTTTGGAGGAGGGAATGGACCCTGAACAGGCTGCCTTGATGCAGAAGTCAAGTGCTTCATACCCTAAGTTTTCTACATTTTTCAGAAGAGTTACTATAACCTTGGACCAAAAGGTATATCCTGATAACCATTTGATTATATGGGATAGTGCTCGGTCGCCTGCTCCTCATGAGGGTTTTGAGGTCAAAAGGAAAGGGGACCAAGAATTTACTGCTAGCATAAGATTAGAAATGAATTATACACCGGAGAAGTTTAAGCTTTCCCCCGCGTTGATGGAGCTTTTAGGTATTGAGGTTGATACCCGTGCCAGAATCATGACTGCAATATGGCAATATGTCAAGGCTCGAAAATTGCAGTGTCCAGATGATCCATCTTCCTTCTTCTGTGATCCACCCCTTCAGAAGGTGTTTGGGGAAAACAAAATTAAGTTCACAGCAGTCACACAAAGAATTACACCACACCTGTTCCATGCACAGCCTATCCATTTAGAACATAGGATAAAACTTTCCGGTAACAGTCCGGTTGGTACTGCATGCTATGATGTATTAGTTGATGTGCCCTTTCCTATACAGAGAGAGCTGAATGCTTTGTTAGCCAATACTGAAAAGACTAAGGAGATTGATTCCTGCGATGAAGCAATCTGCCTTGCAATAAGAAAGATCCATGAGCACCGCCGTAGAAGGGCATTCTTTCTTGGATTTAGCCAGTCACCAGTAGAGTTTATTAATGCCCTGATTGATTCTCAGAACAAGGATCTGAAGCTTGTCACTGGAGAAGCAAGCCGCAGTGCAGAAAAAGAGCGGCATTCCGAGTTCTTCAACCAGCCTTGGTATGCTTTGCCTTTCTTTTCTCTATAGAAGCTTGAATATTCTCATTATTTAACTACTTGAATGATTCGCCAAATATCCATGCTGGTCTGAGACGTCCAATTATGAGTTGATATTGTCCTGCATCAGATGCATGGATTTAATACATAAGTCATTTATTCTTTTTTTGAAACTAAATGGTAATCATGGGGATTGAAATTGGATTTGCACTTTAGTTATGGCCTTTGGTATAGTCTCTGTAAATTTCATTCGCTATAAGAAATGTGAACTATATGCTCTGTTCTGTGCACAATATGCATTCCATGTGTGATGTATATTGAACTTTGAAACTTCCATTTCCTTGACAGGGTTGAAGATGCTGTCATTCGCTACCTTAACCGAAAGTTGCCGGGGGATACTCCTGGCAACACATGAATTGACACGAGCAATATAACTGAGAGGTAAATGGGAAAATAACAGCGTCGACGTATCTACAAGTGTATCCTTTGCAAGGAGCAATGTTGTTTGTATTCACACGAGCCGAAGAACAGGAAGCAGTTGTTGTGTGCGGATTCTTTCAGTTTTGGCTGTTCCACAATGCCAATGCAATTTTATTACCTACTTAAGGGACTCCATTAGGGTTGGTGGTTGTAGTGTATGTAGTGTGCTGCTGTGTTGTTTTGTTTGTGTCATGAAATTTGTACAATCAGCCTGGTTTTGGTTGGTGATGTATGAAATTAATGTTGCTGCAACTGCCTGCCTGCCTGTATTCATATCTTAAAGCTTTGTATGAACCTTTGATGCTTCTCCATGGAACATACTTCAGTCTCATCCATGGCTTCTTATATACCTTCATTTTTACTTCTGAAAATAAGCTTAGAGGAGACATAAACAGATCAGAGCATGAAAGCTGAGTGAAAATTTCGTGGATAATTAGTGATTGTAATTTTTATGAGATTGGGATAATATACTTTTAAAAGTTAAATGCTAAAACAAATAACACACACAGCGAATTTGAATTTGAATTTTTGGGAATAAATATTTTTTGAATGGATAAAAAGTAATGTATCTGTTTGATTCCATAATCACTACTTATTGGGCCCTATTGGAGCAATGCGTTGTGGCCCAAACTTATTGAATAAGTTTCTTAGCTTGCCTGTAATTTGACCGGTGCATTTTGCATTACCGGCAACCTATGGCGGGAAATGGTGAGAGTAGCGACGACGGGATGTCGAAACTGGAAGTCGATGCCGGTTCAGAGGTCTCTTGGAGGAAAGAAGTTGATCAAAATCTCAAGCGGCTCCAGTCGCTGCTATTTGGTGGAGATGCGGCGCTAGAGAAGGGTGATTTCGGGGCGGCGCAAGTGCTGTTCCTCCGCCTCATTGGTTTCCTTGATTCTCGTTCTGAATCGCCAGTTGATGAAACCTACATTCAACCGATTCACCGTGAGGCGGTGACCAAGCTCGGTTTGGCTCGTCGTGCGTTGATTCCTGATTCTGATAGGTGTGACCTCCGCTCCTGTAACGTGAATTTATATAAAGATCTGATAGCAGTTCTTTGAGCTTATAAATATTTAATGTGGATTCTGTTTTGCTTGTGCTAGAGCTTAACTAAGCTCAAATAAACTTTGGTTCTATCTCCCATACCGCCATACGTATATCGGATGTTGCCTTTTTTTTAAAAAAAAAAAATATATATATATATATATATAGATCAGATGTTACTTACCGTAGATACTTTGAGCATATGTTTTGGCAATAATGACAATGTGATTTGGCTATTGACCATCCTTTTTATGCGTTTTTTTTGCTTTCTGATACTTTAGGCAAGCATTCGCCCAAGCTGGCAAGGAACCTAGCTGCATATTCAGAACGAGTGATGGTATTGATATACAGAAGATTAAGCAATCCAAGTATTTTCACACAGTTCTTCAGCAGCCTCAGGAAAGAAGTACACGCCAGTTGGTACGACTTCAATTCATTGCATATCTTCGTTCCTTATTCTTTAATAACAATTAGCTCGTGTACACTTTTGCACTGTTATGAGTTGGGGTACGTATCTTTACTTATCATTTTGTTAGAAAAAAGAACCCGACAAGCACGACAGTGTGAAGACACCAAAGAATCTCATTCAAGCAAAATTGACATCCTTGTATGGAAATGGTTTGAGAGAAAATACTTCGACTCTAATCAGAGACAATGACACAGATGAAGTCACTGTTATTGAAAAGAAATATTCAAGTTACATGTCTCCACCTAATCATTGTATTTCTACCATTAGTAAAACAGAGGAGGAAGGGGTGCATGATATTCCATACAAAACAAAACGGTTACATAGGGACATTATTAGCCCTAGAAATGGAACCATTAAATCCCCACCAGGAAGTGAAGGAGCAGAGCCTGATACTTCTAATAATGGATTTGTTACTGCTAGAGCAAAACTGGTAAGTACTTTCTTTCTATGAAGATTTTGATGATTCTTTTGTTTCTTATGTGGTATTTGCTAATACTTAAGGCAGTGATTTCTGCTTTGCCTTTTACTTAATGTTTTGAGCTGGTGTTTGTTAGTTTTCCTCAATCTTTTAAGAACCAATCATAAAGTGCATTTTAAAGGATTCAGTGCTTTTTATAGAATTTTTTGTTAGAAGATCATGCTATCTTATTGGTTTCATAAGATTAGATGTCAGCAACCTGCTCAAAAGATGCCCTGCGTCCTTTTCTATCCTTTTCTTATCTAATATTAATAAAGGGAAAATAAAGAAGATCAGAAGAGAACTTATGCCCCCACACACAAGAAAATTGCAGCATAAAGCCTTATACATTTATCCAAAGTTGGTTTCTCAACATGTTGTAATACTTAAAAGCTTTTATATAGGAAGTTAATACAATTAGGATCTTTTGGTCGTCATGCCCAGGAAATGGAGGCCAGACAGAAGCGAGGCCTGTCTGGATCACCAAGTGCATCTGTCTCACCACAAAGTGATGCTGGGGCCAGGGGTTACGGGAATAGATCTTATGGTTTTTCTCGGCGTGGAGTTAGAGGTAATTTCATACCACCCATTAGATCAAATGGAAATAGCACTGGAAATGTGACTTCACGCACTGCTGGTAAGGGTGAAGATGCGATCGATGACTCAACAAAAAGATGGTATATTCTTCTGACTCCAGATTTGCTCTTTTTAATCTCATCTAATGAACCAGATACTGTAAACCATTATAAGCTCAATATATCCACTTTTGGAGGACATGTGAGACCTTTGCTATCTTATTTTTCTACCACAAAGTGGAAAGGCAAGACAGAAACACTTTGTTTAGTGTCCTGCATGCAATTTTTTAAATCTCTGCATGTTGTGTTTGTGTAGTTTGGAGTTGTTATGCGGCCCTGATGGAGAGCTTCCTGAAAAATTAAGAAACTTGGAACCACGGCTTATTGAGCATGTCAGCAATGAGATAATGGACAGGGATCCCAATGTTCGTTGGGATGATATTGGTATGCTGGTGAATTACTTTTTATAAGATATTTCAATGTCTCTTGAAGATGCAAATATTCCTTTTCTATTGCTTCATTAGTCGTACTTGTGGATTAGGGCTGTGCTTGGAATTTCCTATTTCTTAGACAATATGTATTTACTTGTTCTAACCCTTTTTCTTCTTACTCCCTGTGGGATGTGCTGCATGCGATATATATAGCTGGTTTGGAGCATGCAAAAAAATGTGTGACTGAGATGGTAATATGGCCATTAATTCGCCCGGATATATTTAAAGGTTGCCGTTCTCCAGGCCGCGGTCTTCTCCTTTTTGGCCCCCCAGTAGGTTTATAATGCACACTCACAGTGATTACATTTCATGGGCTTGTTTGATTATTTTTTTTTTTTTTTTCCATTCTGTAGGGAACTGGGAAAACTATGATAGGAAAAGCTATAGCTGGAGAGGCTAAGGCTACCTTTTTCTACATATCAGCCAGTTCATTGACAAGCAAATGGGTATGTGTTTGTTTTACGAACCTCTGTAAGTTTTCAGATGCAATGCAAAAATTATAGTTTACAGCGGATATGCAATTTAGTTCTTAAATCAAATTTCAAATACACACTTTTCCTTTGTGTCAATCTTTCCATAGAATAAGGTAACAGATGCACAACTCCCAAAATCTTTTTCTAGTTATGTCTAAGGTTAAACAATAAGGAGCAGTCTTAAAATCGACAAAGTTTTATGGTTATAATATCATACATTTCTAGTTGCTAGTCATAGTCTACACTAATAGCAACAAACAGGATAAGAATTGCATGGATTTGATGATTGCAGATAGGTGAAGGTGAAAAGCTTGTAAGAGCACTTTTTGGTGTTGCTAGCTGCCGTCAGCCTGCTGTTATTTTCGTGGATGAAATTGACTCTCTTTTGTCTCAGGTATCATAGGTAACTGTCTGTCTGCGAGAGTTTTTGTTTTAACCAGTTGATCTTGTCCCTCAAAACCCTATATTTTCATTCTTCTTTATTCATTGTTTTTATTATTTTTACTAATATAATACAATACACACACGAGGTTTTGATTAATAAAGCTTATGCTGTTTAACCAATATCTTCATCCTGTAGGCAGCAGTATGTGATCACTATTGAGTAGTCAATTACTTATATTCTTCACGTAAAATGTTCTTCATCTATTCCATAGTGAGAAACTATAAGCAATCCAATATTTCTTACAGCGCAAGTCAGAAGGTGAGCATGAATCCAGTAGGCGACTGAAGACCCAATTTCTGATCGAAATGGAAGGTTTTGACGGTGGGAATGACCAAATTCTGTTAATAGGTAATTGTTGCAATGGTTAACTGCATCTCTCTATATATACTCACTCACTCACTAAGCAGTGGTGATGAATATAACAGGTGCAACTAATAGACCTCAAGAACTCGATGAGGCTGCAAGGAGGAGGCTGACAAAGCGATTGTACATTCCACTCCCAACTTCAGGTCCATTTTATGCATCCGCTTGGTTGGGTCGGGTCGGGTCATTTGATCTTCTCTGGGCTTAAATCTCTAGTATTAATTGTTCAGAAGCAAGAGCCTGGATCATAAAGAATCTTCTGGAGAAAGATGGATTGTTCAGTCTCTCAAATGAGGACACTGATGCTATCTGCAAATTAACTGAGGGTAAAATCGTTTTTGCTAAACCTCACCTTGTGGTTCCCCTGAAACCCAACAGAGAGACCTTCTTGTGCTTTTAGGGTACTCGGGATCTGACATGAAGAATCTGGTGAAAGATGCTTCAATGGGCCCACTCAGAGAGGCCCTAAAACAGGGTATTGAAATTACCAGGCTGAAGAAAGACGATATGAGGCCTGTAAACCTTGAGGTAGCCAATAAGTTGTGCAGGACTCGATCCAAATTATAATAAACAGAGTTTATTGCTACTACTTATTAGTATTGTATTGTATTGTATTGTATTGTGGTGCAGGACTTTGAGAAAGCATTACAGGAGGTGAGGCCTTCAGTGTCGCCGAATGAACTCGGCAATTACGAGAAGTGGAACGAGCAATTCGGGAGCTTATCATTGTAATGCAATGCAATTCCCATACTCGTCAATACTCAGGTAAATTGAATTAGATCCCTGCTTGCTTGCTTGCTTCTTACAATAACTTGCTTCCCTTTGGTATTATTATTCATTACGTTACATTAGTAATCTATGAATAGGCATCATCGTCAAGTGAAATATGATGAGATTTGGATGGATGCTTTATAGATCATAGATCTGCTACGTAATTGTGTTTCTTAATTCATGTCTTGCCTTGCCTTGCCTTGACATAACTTAAGAAATAGTATTTGTAATTGTCGCACTACTTGCTTCAACTAATGTACAAAACACTGTACATCCGACATTAATTTCTCCTGCTAACAAACACCTTAAATCCTCCGGCCATGTGAGCCGTCAGAAGTGGTACAAACACCGGTTGGTGGTTCTGGTTTGCCGGTCTGATACAGAACCGCCGCATTATGGACCCCACCACATACTTCATTTGAATGAAAGCCAGTTCTTTCCCAAGGCAAACTCTCGGACCGGCCTGAAAAACCGGAAACTTATACGGCCCAACGCCCCTTTCCGATGCCCATCTCTCCGGTTTGAACCGGAGCCGGTCCTCCCCCCACAACCGCTCCATCCTTCCCATTCCGTATGGAAAGTACGTCACCCGGTCTCCCGCCCGGACCGGTGTCCCGTCCGGCAGCATGTCGTCAGCAACGGCGTGTTTGGAGTCCCATGCAATTGGCGGGAAGAGTCTCATCGACTCACAGATACAAGACTTGAGCCACGTCATCCCTTTCAAAGTTTCCAATTCTACCGAATTTTCGTCCCCCCAAATACGCCGTAACTCCCTCATCACTTTGTTTTCGGCCTCCGGATGGTGCGCGAGCAAATGGAAGAGCCATGTCATTGCGGACGACGTCGTATCCCTTCCCGCCATAATTATGCTTATAATTATGTCCCTCATAACCGCCTCTCCTCTCCCGCCCAGCACCATTTTTGATAGAAGGTCACGTTCTCTGTGACTGTGGGATTCGTCGGTTAGCTCTATGGACCCCTTCCTCAGTTGGATTACTTGGTTTACGAACTGATGGATTCTGTTCATAGCTTCTCCAAGTCTCTTCTCCGAGCCGAGGTTGAAAAATCTCTTCACTTTCCACATGGCCGACAGCGGCGCCGCGCCTCTTCGCGCGCAGATATCGGACGCCGCATCGAATGCGTCCACAATCGGATGCTTTGTACCTAGTGACTTGTATTCCAGTTCCAGGCAACCAGGATCGTAGCTTAGCGCAAATCTACACACCATATCAAATGCAAGCCTTCGCAACAAATCCTGCAAGTCGACCATTGCTTTGTCCTCCGCAGCTGATTCCAGAACTGGTAAGAGCTTTTTCTCCACCTCTTCCTTGAGTACTCTCTCTACGTAGTTCCGCAGGGACGACCTAGCGTTGAATTGGTGGATGGCTAATTTGCGCTGGTCGTACCACAGATCACCGTCGACATTGAATATTCCGTTGCCGAGAAAATCTCTGAGTATTTCTGTGAACGGCTTTCCTTTGGGGAAGTTGGAGAAGTTCGATTTGAGCACGTACTCCACGTTTTGTGGATTTGCAGTTACGATGGTCCGCCGTGCACCGAATCGAGAAATAATGATAGTCTGTGAGGGCGACAAGGATAGCATGTCGGTGTACCAGTGCAATAGATGGTGACGATTTCTGTAGAAGGAAAGCAGACAGCCAATTAGTGGATATGTAGCAGGATTCGAGTGTCGCCTGAACTTCCACTGCAGAAATGCACGCAGCATTAGCATTAGGAGGAGCAAGGACATCATCAACAGAAGCCAAAATGGAGATGAGAAAGTTACAGGTAACGACGTTACCATATCCTTTATCTTGAGTTGAATAAATTAAGTTGGATTAGAAGACAGGCACAAATATACTTTATTAGGCAAGATGATTGCAATTTGTAGTAGTCAGTCACGGAAGGCGTTTTTAAATTAATCAGCTAAAAATATGCATGATTGTTATAAATTGCAATTAGTCACATAAAATAAGGTTGGTAGGGTAGGGTAGGGAGACACAAGATTATGGTGGGTTGCGATTGGAAGTAGACCCAACCCAGGGTGTTGGTCTTCATTTAAGAAATAAATATAGTCAGGCAGCAAAGCAAAGTTAAGTGATTAACTAAAGCAGTGTGAAACCGAATGCCATCATAATCCATATTATAGTATTATAAAAACATATCTATGTTGATAGCATAGGCATAGCACGCCATTGTTGTATTTTATGCTAGCGCCGCCTTAATTAACGTTGCCTCTTCCTCTTAATTATGATTTTTATGTACTGTAGGACCGAGCTCCTATTCTGTTATGCGACTGCTAACTTCTTCATCTTTAGAATCTATCTTATTTAAAACACAATTATATACTTAGTATATTTTCATATGTGATCAATATTGAGTTATGGTGTGTGTTGACTGGAGAGGTCTGCACTGCACCCCTGGTCAAAATCAATGCATTTTTATAGTATTATTTTTGTAACAACCGTGCCCACAATGAGATAGTAGAATTAATAGGCATATCTGGCTTTAATAATGGATTTGTTTAGCATTTATTTCCTAAACCCAGCAATGAGATAGTAGCATTAGGACTGTACTACTTTATATTCCGTTTCAACGGATAATCATTAAACCTTGCACGGTAACCCACTCACGCCTCCTAGAAGCAACAATTCCAGCTTATTTATCGAGGCTTTTTCATCAAGTCCAATGCAAAATAACGATGCAGTGGTTTAATGTAGAGGACAAAATCTTGATGCAGTATGGTCTCAGCCAATTTATTTTTTTTTAAATAAGTACATTTTATAACATTTTGTCATTGTGTAATTTTTTTTACAAAGGCTTGGAGTCGAGATTCGTCAGTGACACATCAGGTCCATCTAAGCCGTTATAATCTTTTTTTTTATATACAACTAGTGTATATGTTCTTAGAGCAAACGTAATAAGGCCGTTTTCGATGGCCTTATTGAGCATTAAACCAAGGCTATTTTGAATTGGTTTTTTCGATCCGGCCTGGTGGTGCAGTAGAAGCTATATCAAACTACCTTTTTCACTCTTTCCTTTCTCCCCCAAAATCTCCTCTGGAAGGACGAGTTTGTGTCTTCTATGCCGTGGAGGCCAACTGTCGGTATCGTTGCCGCAATCGTCACTCTTGGATCAACGTTGGGACAACAATCGTCTTCGTCTCCGGCTATCCCGTCATCGTCATGTTCTTTTACACTAAAAAAACTCATGTTCTTTTATACTAGAAAAACTCAAAGGGTATATGAATCTACCGGAGAGACAGAGAGGGAAAGAAGAAAAAAAGTGAGTAAAAATTAACAGTTTCTTTTACTGAGATTCAATCGGTCTGGTTGATGCATCGGCACCGGTGCTAGGCCTCTGATAGAGGAAGAAGAATTGTGGATGGCGATAATGTGCTGCTGTGTGACTTTATTTTATTTTAAAATTCTATCTTGTCTTGGATGCGCGTGTGACATGTGATCTTCCGAGGCGTTTTAAAGACAGTATTGTTGTTGTTGCTCTTAGGCATGATATGATGGTAGTAGTTGCTCATACATACATACATGCATACATACCCTACACGTGCGATTATTTTCTGTCTTAAACCTCCCTCTTTATTTATGGCCTCAAATATTGCCTGGTTCTAACTACCTAACTAGATGGGCAAATCCGAGTTGAGTTGAGTTTAACTCGAATTTGACCTAGTAGTGCTAGAGATCCATTACCGTAACATGGAATTCAATAATAAAATGGCAAAATCCATTCTGATACCAACCAATGAAACGCCGCTTAGTACAATAAAGGCACACAAATTAAAGGTAAAGATACATTCTTCGAATCCCGGAATAACCCAGGTGTGTTTTTTGTTTCAGAACGTATATGGAAACTGAGAAGCATGCAGCAGCTTAAACCTTGATGGAGCATCTGCATCTGCATCTCACCTCTGTTAGTGTTCCTACAGATTAGAGTGACCCATCCGAACTTGAACTCGATGCCATGATGTGTTTAAGATGCCTCTCAAGTTCCAAATGACCTCTACATTTTCAGGCTGGACATTTGCTGCTGTATCAACCTGGGATTATTTGGCATCACGTTAAATACGATCTATCTCTAAACCAGATTATGATTTATGACCAAAGTAATAAACATGTAACATACTGCTTTGGCAACTATCTCGGTGCTGCCATGGATGTCGCCTTCAGCTTCAAATAGCACCCATGACCATTTATCACTATTCTCACCATCAGGTATGTATGGATTGCCAGCTTTCTGAGACTTGATGGCTTCAACCCAGGTTTTGCCACCATCAATAGACACGTCCACTCTCTCTATGCCTCGCCCACCTCCTGATACTGCATAACCCTTTATAGTTATCTGATAACAATCAACAAACATTCAATCCACGTGGAGAAGCATTTAGCATACTGAATGACTTTGAAAACATTGTATTGTGTGTCGAGCTCATGACAAATAATATGTAGAAATCTTAAGTGGACAAGCTGCAGAAGCAATGGGCACGAGAAGCACTAACTGACCTTTCCAGGCTTAGCCACACTTTTGTCATCTAGAGAACATATTGCACACTGCAAGCACCACAGATAGTAAGAATCATTGCAAGCCATGACAAAAAAAAAAAAAACATATATCGTAATTTAAAGCTCAATAATCTGGAAGTGAATCCTCTAGTTCCAACCAAAATCGGATGGACAATTTTTTCCAAGATTATTCTAGCAGCAAAAGAATTTTAATACGGCTACAATACAAAATTCGGGCATATTTCCTACCAAGTACAAGAACCAACAAATACCAATTGTAGCAATATACCTGAACAGGGAAATCCATTTGAGGTCGCCTAGTCGACCAATCAATATTATCCCAATCGACAGAAGGAGGAAACATTTTATAATCCCTTTGCATAAAAAATCCCTGCAAAACACCAATGCAAGATCCATAAAGCAAGCTATGGAACAACTATTTGGTGAACAGAAACACAATTTTTGTACCTGGCATTCTTCTGCTATAATGTTGATGGAATCAAGCCATTTGACAGATCGGGCACCAATAACACCGGGGACAATCACACGTAAAGGGTATCCATGATCCCTGTTAAGAGTCTTCAAATAGAAAACAAGATTGAAATAAGGGACTTTGTGGTGTAGGAGAGTGGGAATTACAAACATGACAAAAAGTCTAATTTGAGTTAAAAGATAAGAAAAACAGGTTGACCTTCACAGTCAGCCATAACTTAGTAGAAAGATCTCTAATGAGCAATTTTTTATGATTGGAAAGAGTCAGAATGAATGGGGAACGTGTTATAGACTACCTCTCCATTCATCTCATAGGCAAGTAAAACATCAGCTTCAGGGTTTGTTGCTTGACTCAATGGAATAGACGCTTTATATGGACCACCATTCTCTTCCTGTGAAAAGGCTGGTGTAAGATAATATTTCCATTTAACGCATCCAGGAAACCAACGTTATGAGGGCAAAATGGCACAAGTAATTACCTTGCACTTGTCAATGCTCACAAATTCTACATGTTTTCCTCCATTTGATGTTACATGAGAGCACTTAGGAATCCCAACAAGTTCAAGAACATCAGCTAGTTTTGCTCCACCCCATACAGCTGCAGCAACATACAAGAAGAAGATATGAAATCAAATAATATGCAAGTCCTAAACAGGGGAAGATGCGGAAATTCATCCAATAAAAACTTGAAATGGAATTTGTCTCCTTGTTTTAGAACAGGGCTATAGGAAACAGTTGGATTGGAAAAATTGAACATAGTTTGAAAGTGAATGCCTTGCCCTGATTTCAACAAATGAAAACTTAACTTCAGCCAAGACTATATAATCAGAGATTCATATATATATATATATATAATTCCCAAGATCACAAAATATTATATGCTCTTGAGGTATTATCCAAGAAAATTAATCAAAAGAGATTTCTGAATAAATTTTCTGAGGCATGCTTAATTGAAACATAAGCAAAAAATTTCATCAAACTTTTCATAGCAGGGCATGCCACAATGATGAACTGGAAAAACAAAACAACTCCTCTACCATTTCCTATTGCAGCAACATCCCACCCAACTCCTTTCACCTTTCGAGTTTTGCTCATGGCAGTCCTCCGATTACCAGCACACTGAAAGAACATGACTGGAACAAATTATCATCTGAAAAGCAAAGGAGAAAGGAAATGGAAGCAAAGGAGTAATAGAAACAGGATGCAGGTAGGAACAAACAGAAATTTTGTTCATTTCCTCAGTATACCAAACAAATTAAGTGGATAGTGTTGAGGGAGTCATTCATGAATGAGCAACTAAAATGAACCCTTGTTGACAAAATTGTACTAACCAAAAGAAAATTGAAAGTTAAATCATCTGGTTTTCACCACAGTTCACCTCTTCCACCTATTCAGCTTGACAAACCAAACAAAGGCTGGTATAATATGTATTGCACATACATGGATACAAAATTAGTACAATTGTACAGCTCATATTAGCAAATAGAGTTTCACTTTTGCATGTGTTAACACTGCAATTTCAGGTATCCATGATGCAGGGCCTTTTAAATAGACCTTGCATTTTGCCTTATGTCCTAACCCCCAATATTGTTCATAATAGGTTAAAGCATCAAACTAGGAAACTCAAGAGCTAGCAGAAGTGTTTTCTTTTTTTTTTCAATATTTCTTCTACATTAAATGCTGGAACCTTTAAGATTTGAGGTCAATAGAGAATTTTCAGGGCCAAAAAAGAAGGGCTACTAGACTGGGCACATGGCTTTAAAAGATGCAATCAAGATCGATGTAAGCAGAAGTATTAAAATACAATCAGATGCTAGAGCAAAGACATCAACTTGGTATGGTTGATCTAATGAAGTGTATTAATAGTCTTATTCTTAATTCAGCACAACAACTTCAACATCATGTCCAGATTGCTTTTCCATGGTGAGGAGGGAACTGTCACATTTGTATTCCTCTCCTTTTAGTCAACTGACTTCATTCCTCTATCACTAAACAAGCCTACCCTATATTGAAAGCATATGTACCTGTAAAGTGGCAGCCACAGTATACTTTGGAAGCTTCCTGTTAGTCATAGTATAAAATGTAAGGCATATTGCATGAGATAGAAAAGTTGAATCATAAGGTAAGAGTCAGAGTCGTTCACCATATGTCTTTCATGAAAAGCTCTTTGGAACTTCCTTTAAGGCCAGTGAAGAGAACGCTATATCTGGTTAACCGATTCAACAAATACACTCCATGAGCTTATGTTAAAAACATTAATTGGAAGTATGGATAACATGTAATTAGCTTAAAGTAAAAGGAGACTTGTGCAAGTCTTGAACAATTGGAATTGGTCCATGGTTTCTCTTATAGAAGAACTCCACAGGCGTTACATAAGATGACACCAAATCCGCACGACGTGGCTCAGCATTGAAAGGTTCCTAAACCAAAGTAGAGATCTGAGAATACTTTTTGAAGTAATTAAAAAACGGTATAGAGTAAGCTACATATCAATACTCGAGATTTTCGATCAGTTAGAATAGATTAATAAAGAATCTTAAAACATAAGTTCTCGTGCTATCACGAACTTCGGAAAATGCACTGTATTCTGCCAACAATCATTCGACGATTGCTTTCTTCTAAGCAGAAACGTGAAATCAAACTGCAGAAAAAGCCTGATTCACCGTGTAACCGCGTAAAACGAAATGTCCGCAAGATTTTAGAAATCAATAATCAATCCACACGAACGCTATCTCCTCAGATAAAACCTGGATTTATTGTGCGCCTCGGATACAGACAAATTAAATTCGATTACGGAAAGCAACGAGAGAAGATCATAACTAGGAACCTTGGAATTAATGACTAGAGCAGGATGGCGCGAAGGTTCTTCTTTGTAATCAGAAGGCGCTCTCAGCCCTGGCATTTCGGAACCGAGCAAGATGTTTCTCCGTAAATCCTCGCGAGGATAGCTAGTTAGAGCGATGGAGTTCCAGAAGCTTCCACGGCTGAATTAATGGAAAGGCGGAGATATGCACACGCGACGCGAGGGTGTGAAGGCCGGCGCAGCGCTTCCATATATAATAAATAAAAAATGAAAGGGGTATCAGTTTCAGCAGTTTATTGGCATTGTAAATACGTATGACATATTATCTCCGCCCACATGGAATGGAACGCCAAACATTCTTAACGGTGGGGATCTCCGTGCCAACAAGAGTGCCATCGCTCCCGGTCAATCGGGTATGCCACGTGGCTCTTTTTTTATTTTGTTTTATCTTTTAAAAAACCAAATAATAATGTGTAAAATTAATAACTGCAACTAAAATTAAAATTACCTCAAATATATTATTGTTATTGTTGTCTTACTTAATTAGAATATGTAATCTCAGTATGTTAATTAACAAACTCATTGACAAAATTTAACAAAATGATAATAATAAGCTATCAAAAAAAAAAAAAATAGTAAAAAATAGTATTGCAATTATATACATTCAATAGATTATTAGTATATTTAAACTGAATTGAATAAATAAACATCTAAACAAAAATATATCATATTTTACAACTTAAATAAATATATTAAATGGAAAAATGTAAATAAATTTAAAAATAATTATTAAATATTTATATTATATCATTATTATTCTATTAACAAATAATAATATAAATTAATTTTAATTGAAAAACACATACAAACCTCCAAAACAATACACCTTTTTCTCCTCTAACTTTTATAATATGTACTACTATTAATTTAGTTTAATTTTATTTACTTTTTAAGAAAAAAAAAACACAAAAACCCTTAAGGGCCGTTTCGATGAACTTTAAAAATAAATAGAAATCACAAGTGAAAGCGGTTCGATTTTTCGATAGATCATTGTTATAACAATTTTTCATAAAAAAAAATTGTTTGAATGTAATAAAGTTCAAAGTGCTAAAATTGACATGATGTTAATCTCATTGTATTTCTCCATAAAACTTTTAAAATTTATTTTTAAATTTTATTAATTATATTTCAAAATTTTCATTTAAATATAATATTAAAATTAAAATAAAATTACAATCTAATTAAATTATTTGTATTTTACAATCTATTTTAAAATTTTATAGATTAGATTTAATAATTTAGTATAATTAAAAATTTTATGTACTCTTATTTATTTTGTATCTCAATTATAATTTTAAATTTTAATTGAAATATAATATATAAATTAAAAATATTAATATAATTACATTTTTAATTTTGATTAAAATATAATATACAAATGAATTGTTTTTATATTATATTATATTATAATATTATACTCCCTCCGTCCCAAAATTCTGCAACATTTTCTTTTTGGTATGTCCCAAATATTTCCAAAATAGGAAATAATTAATTATACTTAATCTCTACCCCACACTTTATCCCCTCACATCATCCAAATAAAAAAATAAAATATATATTTCTCTCTCCATCACATCGCCAAATTTATAAATTATCCTAGTTAATACCACCCACCTAAAAACCCGTACAAAAAATAAATGTTGTATCTTGTTTGAAACAGATGGAGTATTTATTATTATTATTAAATATAAAATAGTAATTTTAATTAAAAAATGCTCTGCTTATTTCAAAAGATATTCTCAATGTGCTTATGAGAAAAAAAAATTTATATTCAAAAACTGTTTTTGTTTTTGACATAAACCATATTGCAAACATATAAAAAAAATACTTTTTCTAAAAGTAGAAGTCAAAACTTTTCTACCAAAAGTCAATTCAAACAAATCTACCAAAGTTGTCCCTCCCTTTTTATCTTCACACCCAGTTCTTCTTTCTTTCTTATCCTTCCTCTCTCTTCTCTCCTTTCCCCTTCTCATTTGTTCTTCTCCTTCATTTTTCTCTTCTTATGAGCTTTCGTCCTCTGTCGTTTCATTGTCCTCTCCGCCACAGCTACAGTGCTGCACTCCAGTTCCGGCAAATGGTACTGGCGGTGAGGCGGCGTGACAACGGTGGTCAGTATTGCATAAAGTTACTTTGGACAAGTGTTAATCGAAAATGAAATGAGAGATGACGAACTCACCGGCATAATTGGGCGGACCTTCAATTGAGGGACTTCGCGTCTCGGAGATGCACGGGGCGAAGGGATGGCGCGTAGGTAGTTTAGGATTTAGAAAGAAGAATGAAGGACGAAGAGGGTGGGAAAGAGGCGATGGCGTGAAACGGCAGGGAAAAGAATAGGGGTATTGTGGTGGGACCCACATCAAAGAAAAATAAAAAAGAAAAAAAAATCGGACAAAATTCTATGTCATCCGTCGCTAAATATATATATATATTCATTTAATCATTTAAATAATAATTCGCCATGTGTGCTTCCGTCTCAACAAGTCCTATCAAATATTTGAATTTATATTTTAACATACTTATCACTTGACAAGTTTTTGCAAGAGTAATTTATTTTAGATCCCATAAGAGAATATATGATTTCCATGCGGTCTAAATTGATATGAATGAATGGGTAGGGCTTACTTTAAACATCTCCCATTAAGAAAACAGGTAGACGGGATAACATGGGATTCATCATGCAATATTATAAAAATTATTTACGAACCAAAAAAACAAGATAATAGCGGTTACAATGTTAAATTTTAAAATTCAACACCGTATTGATATCATATCGTGTGTTAACAGACAACCCGTGATACTATTACAGAGAAAACATAATTTATATTAATATAATACCAATTCAGTAAAAGAATTAACAACACATGAACAATTGATTTTAGCACATCATATATTTTTATATACAATTATAAGTGTAGACACTAAAAATATATGTATAAAATCAATTAAATATCATATATTTTGGAAATAAAATAAAATTTCAATAAAATAAATATATGGTATTCAATTATGCACATATATTAAATTTTGTATAATAAATATCAACCATTAATGCAAAAATCTGCTTAAAATGGAAGATATCGTACAAATATTATGTGCATAAATAGAGTCATAATAAATTTGGCAGCAAAATAAATTAATCTTGTCAATAAAGGAAGTATATAAATTAATATATTCCGAAAAAGGACAATGATATAAAGATCTTGATGAGAAAGGAAGGTGCACAATCAAATTCGTCAAGAATGAAAAAGAGCATCCGATGGAAAAGGAAATATTATAAAATCTTCCTATTGGCCAATCAAAATGCACCACGTGTCACCATTGAAAAAGGAAGCCGAAACCACCCATCCCCTATAAATAGGAGCCATGGTCAGTTCATTTGAGACACCAAAGTTGCATCGAGGATTCAAGCAAAGGGTAAAGTCTCTAGATTCTCTCTGTATTGTTCTTCATATTCTTCATGTCCTTCGAAGCGTTCTTCGTCGAAAGTCACTAATTTGGAAAAATGATCTAAAATTGGTTAACAAATCGATGAAGTTAACGTTCTTCGTCGTATGCTCAAGCCGGAGAAAGGATCAAAGCTCTCAAAGCCATTGAGGAATTCATCAAAGCCAATGGAAGGTCTCCAAAGTTCTTCTTAAAGCTACAAGATGTTCATTGCGTTCTTCAACAAAGCATTAACTAGGCCCTCTTCAATCCAAAAGTCAAAGGGACATGCCGCCAAAAGTGCTATGGAGCACCAAATCCACCTCTTCAAGGATCAAAGTTCCAAAAGCCATTGAAGAGTCCATCAAAGTCAAGGAAGAACATCCAAAGTTCATCCCAAAGCTTCGAGGTGTTCATCACGTTCTTCACCAAAGCAACAATTCGGCCCTCTTCGATCCAAAAGTCAAAGGGACACGCCGCCTAAAGCGTTATGGAGCACCAAATCCACCTCCTCAAAGATCAAAGTTGTGGATCATCCAAAGAAGACATCAAATCCAAAGCCGACGATCGAATCGTCCACGCGGAGACCGAAGCTCCTCCAAAAGGCGGAAAAGGCAAACCAAAGACCAAAGTTGCGGATCGTCTAAAGAAGACATCAAATCCAAAGCCGATGATCGAATCGCCCACGCGGAGACCAAAGTCCTCCAAAAGCGGCAAAGCCAAAGCAAAGGTCAAAGTCGCGGATCGTCTACAGAAGACAACAAATCCAAGGACGATGATCAAATCGCCAATACGGAGACCAAAATCCTCCAAAAGCGGCAAAGCCAAAACAAATGTCAAAGTCGCGGATCGTCCAAAGAAGACAACAAATCCAAAGGCGATGATCAAATCGCCAACACGGAGACCAAAGTCCTCCAAAAGCGGCAAACCCAAATCAAATATCAAAGCCTCGGATCGTCTAAAAAAAAGACATCAAATCCAAAGCTGACGATCAAATCGCCCGCACGGAGACCAAAACCCTCCAAAAGCCGGCAAAGTCAAACTGAAGACCAAACCTCTTCGGATCAAAGAAGCCATCGAAAACCAAGTTGGAAAATAAATCGACCCGGAAGGAGAATCAAAGGACCCATTTAAAGAATATGACCCGCTTTAAATTCAAATCAAATATAATTTGTACAAATTTTGTGTTTATTAAAAATAACACAATTTTTTGTCTACAATAAGTATAAACAAATTGCACTCATGACATGTGCTTTGTGAAATAAAGACATATGTTATTTATAATATATTTTATTTATGTTGATTGAAAAATCAGCACCGTGTTGATTTTTTCAAATTAGTACGGTAACCTCTCTCAAACAAAGTACAACGTGACTTGAGATTCATCATCTATTATGTATTTTATGTTGGATAATCGGTTACTTAATCGGTGGAATTTAATGTTAGAAACTCAAATTCGGAATTTACGCAACCGATTAATTGGTGAGTGAAGACGCGAAGGGCTGGTCAACCAAATTAATTGGATTAATTTGGTTGTTATATATGGGGCTTGGTTAATATTTTGGCCATTTTACCTGTCTTGAGATAAACCAAATTGTACAGCTTTAAGTTAAACCCGAGTATATGGCTTAAGTCGCAGTATTATCTGGATAAAATCTTATCAGTTGGATGAATTTATTATAATCTTAAATGAAATATTTGAAATTATAATAAAATTACGACCGTTTCAAACGGAAGGTTTGAAATTAGAATAAATTATGATCGTCTCAAACGGAAGGTTTGAAATTAGAATAAA